CACTCTCACTCATTCTCACTCATTCTCACTCATTCTCACTCTTTGTCACTCATTCTCACTCTTTCTCACTCTTTGTCACTCATTCTCACTCATTCTCACTCACTCTCACTCACTCTCACTCATTCTCACTCATTCTCACTCTTTCTCACGCATTCTCACTCTTTCTCACTCTTTGTCACTCTTTCTCACTCATTCTCACTCACTCCCACTCACTCTTCGCGACGATTCTGCGTGCTCATATCTTCAGCAGTGGCTTGTACCTGTAGAGGAAGCGTCGGCCGCCGACGACGCGACACATGACAACGAGCAGCGCGAGGCAGGTGACGATGACGAGCAACGCCGACAGGTCGAGGCGGCCGGGCGGCGGCAGCGGCGGCTCGACGCGTGGCGCCGCCTGCCCGTCCGGCTGGCCGCGCCTCGCCTCGTAGAACGCCTGCGCGTTGTGGTAGACGTTGCCCGCGTCCGGCTCCCGCTCTCCCCCTCGTTCCCGCTCTCCCCCTCGTTCCCCCTCACCTTCGCGCGGCGGCGGGATGACGAGAAGGTGGTTCTCATCCGGAGAGTCCGCGTCCGCGTTCGCGTCCGCGCGGCGATCGTCCGCGGGGACGCGCGGGGGCGGCGGGATGTTGCGCGGGTGGTCGCCGACGGGTCCCTGCCCTGGACGCTCCCGTCCGCCCCCCGCAATGACGTCAGCGTCAGCGCGCGCCATCAGCGCAGCGGCCGGCGGCTCGGGAAGCACGTTCTTGTGGTGGTCCTCGTCGTAGTCGTGCAAGTTTGCTGCGAGAACAACGGACGACAGTGCGGGTGGTGAGCGCGTCCAAACATGGGGGGGGGGAGGCGTTACAGTTTCGGGTTTGATTCTGATTTTCCGGTTCGAGATTTTACTACTTATATTATAATTATAATATATTACAGCTATTTATACTTATAATCATAATTCTGACTCTAACATGTATTAGATTCTGTTAGAAGAACATATCTACACATATGTATATATATATGTATATGTATATGTTTATGTATATGTGTACGTATATCTGCATATATGTATATGTATATGTATATGTATATGTATATGTATATGTATATGTATATGTATATGTATATGTATATGTATATGCAGTGCTCAATTTTAAGGTTTTTTTTGGGTTGTCCGGAGGACAACCAAGGAGTAGCATATGGTTGTCCCTCAAGAGTTTTGGTTGTCCGGATATTATTTAAACATGTGCTGCATGCGCTCTGCTCACGTGATGCTCAGTGCTGTAAAGCAAAAGGCCTAATCATGTACATTTTGTACGTATTGCAGTGACAGCAGACATGGCCATTCACATTGTTTCACTCAGTATATGAAGAGAATAAAATATTGGTAATGTGGTAAATGATGCTGGGATCAATGACGTATAATAATAGTAATTAAAAGTTGCATGAAATTTATTTCATAACATTTACATTAAGTTAACTAACACTACTAACATTACTAACACTGTGTCAAGTCACAAGGCGCGTTCACACTGGCGCGAATAAGCGGGATGCAAATCCCGGTTTTTGCATCGCGATCCGGTAAAATAAAGTGTGAACGCAATAATACCTACTAATAATCGCGATCAGCATCGCGCTCCAAATCGCACTTTTGACTGCGATTATTTGGAATTAGCGCGATTATTTGTGTGTGTGAACGCTCGCGCAAATAATCCCGGTATTTTAGCGCGATTATTTGCGTGTGTGAACGCTCGCGCAAATAATCCCGGTATTTTCTATCCCATCATTCCAAGCGAGTGAGCAGTGAGCATGCGCAGTGAGCATCATTCCGGCAGTGAGCATGCGGTTCTATTAATATAATTATCCCGCTCGGCGATTAGCGCGATTATTCGCCTGTGTGAACAACGACACAATTATCTCGGTATTTCATCGCGATTAGCATCGCGGTTTTTCTTGTGTGTGAACGCACCTATTGATGAGTAAAAATTGAAAATTAACAAGAAACATTGTGTTGTTAAACACGTGATGTTATACTTTGTATCAAGCAAGCCAGACAATGCGTCTAGACATGTACGTTTGCAGCGTATTGTGCAACCCTGGCCGTATGTAAAATGAATGCGCGCATTATGAATATAAAATTTTTATAGAGGTTGGACACCGGACAACCACGGAAGCAATTTTTAGTTGCCCGAGAGAAAATCCAGTCGTCGCGGACGACCGGACGACTGTTAAAATTGAGCCCTGATATGTATATGTATATGTATATGTATATGTATATGTATATGTATATGTATATGTGCACGCATATCTACATATTTGTATATGTATATGAATGTGGATGCATAGATATTTTTATGATTTCAGTGGCTTCTATTAGTCAATACAGCCAAGAATTCATAAGCAATGTTTGAAACATGCAGACAAATATAAACAAGTAGGATGAGGATATTCAGTTTCCATGACTTTGCATCCAAGCCCTGGCTGACTGAAGTATAAACAAGTTCACATGACAGTATTTAAAAACGGGTAAGCGCATTCAGGTGCTATTGCATTTAACTACACAGCGCCATCTTGTGGCAGAGATGGTTAATTTCAGGACCAGTTATTTAGGATAACTCAGTCACCTCTGTCGATAAATCGAGAGGACATTTCACATTAGCGACACACAGAAGCTACCACTAGATAGCGGCAGGCGGCAGGCGGCAGTAAATGCTAAAAAACAAGAGTGTAGCTCAGCAGATTGCAACGTTATTCGCGATTTCGTACCTTGATATTTCACGGTGTATGACGACTCTCTGTCCAGCCTCAGATGTGAGAAGCTAGCTGGCACGGCGGAGAGCAAATAACGTAGATACACGACAAGTGCACCAGCTGCCATCGCTGTCTTGTGCGACAGACATCCATCTAAAAACAGTAGAGAAGGAAGACATAAAACATTGGATAGCGGATGGAACAGATATGCTGGTTTTGTTGAATGCAGAAATGATAATGAATACAATATGCACAATTAAAGCCACAATATGCGCATCTACATGCTAATTTCTCCAGTACTAGACTAGCAAATACTTCGTGTCATGCATAATCATACTACCGGTACCTTATGACAAAATAAACTCTAGTTCCTCCCATTTCACTGTGCGTTGTCTTATAAAAGGTATTCAAAAATACCTCCAATGTTGTTCAAATTCTCCGATGTTACATAGTACGGTGTAACCAAGCTGAAGTATATACACAACAATGCACACGCACAGTGTATACACTGTCTACAAAACAGATATTCAGAGATTCAGTCGAAGTTCAAAATCACGAAAAAAACGAATAACAAGTGATTATAACAAGTGATCACAAAATCAATTACACGAAATGATGGCACTTTTGGAATTTTTTAGGGTAAGCCCAACCAGTTCGCATGATACCCTAGTATAGCGCGGGGCAAGAATAAATTCAATATCATTGACATCGTCCACGAAGCCGTGTGGGCAGATTTCACCGGTAACATCCCAGTGGCCTATTTCGTCTACTCTCAGAATCGGCTATATTCCCATTTCGCCTACTCCCTTTTCTATGTTTTCTTCCTATATTCTATGTTATTCTTTCCTTTCCTATGTTTTCTTCCGGTTCCTGTAGTCTATGTATGCCAATCAAAACCATATTTTATTATTTATGAATAATTATTTAGTGAACAACCAGATCGTAGCGAAATTAGGAGGTAGATTTTGAGCGTAGACGAATTAGGAGTCAGCGAAATGGGTGAAGACCAACTGGAAATTTTGCTGTAGGCGAAGTGGGAATTTTGCCGTAGGCGAAATGGGAGTAGGCCAAGCGGGAATAAACCATTTCACCACCCGTACTGCGCGACATGTGCTATAATAACACGGAGTAAACAATAACAATCGACCCTCATGCCACCGTGTCAACGTGACCCGTGCCACTGTGTCAACGTGATCCGTGCCACTGTGTCAACGTGATCCGTGTCACTGTGTCAACGTCACGCGTCCCACTGGCTGTAGAATCATGTCCGCTCGCTCACACCACATCTTACACAAGGTGTTTACCCACACGCACGCACGCACGCACACGCACACACACATACGCACGCGCACACGCACGTGCGCACACACACGCACGCACACGCACACATACGAACACGCACACACGCACACGCATACGCACGCGCACGCACGCACGCGCACACCCACACGCACGCACGCACGCACGAACGCACACACACACAGACACACACACACACACACATATATATATACATCAAGAGCTAATAATAAGAGGTATTATTAGCTCTTGATATACATGTATATCAGAAGTAGATAATAGATATAGATAGTTCCCTATTATCTACTTCTGATGTATGTATAAATAAATATGTGTATAGAAAACAGATGTGTTTACATCTATATATAAACACAGCTGTTTTTTATACATATGTTTATATCATGTAGTGTGAGCGGGTGGGCTTGCGTGATCCTACAGCCAGCGTCCTGTGTGTGCCTCGCA